ATGAATTTCTGCATATATGAATGTTGTAATTGAGGATGCACCTCGCTGCTCATAAATTACAACTGATGGAAGTGTGGCATGGGGGACGGCTCTGTGCATAATGAGGCTCAGTGGCATAGGTATCATTTAATTAAAAAGTGTTGTGACAAAAGACGCATGTATCCAAAGAGTCAAACTAAACTCAGGCAAGTTAAAGATGGATGGAGAGTAAACTCAGCAGATGTTTTTAAGGAAAATGCACAAAAAGCTGCATCGCAGAAGGAAAGATATTATGTGCTCTCTGTATACGCCACTGTAGTAAATCACCAAATGAATGTTTTTTATGCAATTCCATCTAAAGTGTTAAGTAGATACACACATCAATATTATCAGTAAGTGCTTCAGAAGCACTTTGTGTCTGTTTCTTATGATACATTCAGGAAGTTTGCATAGCTAAAAAACATTTCACTCTTTCATTACAGAAGCATCTTTGGGCAAGCAAAATCCAGCTGTTTGGGTTAAAGTTAAAGCTATACAGCTAAACATTGCACATTAACAGACGCAAAATGGTGGCATGTAGTTGGAAAGTTTAGTACCAAGAAATCCTATAAGACTTTACTGACCTGACTCTGTGATGCTTTTACCAAATGTAATTAAAGTGACTAGAGAGGCAAAAGATTTAACAGTGGTGAGTCCAGTTTTGTCTTGACGGAGCACTGCTCGCTGCTGTTTAAGAGACAGTTTACTGCTTTGCTATTTGCTTCTTCTTTGTCTCCGTCTGTCTGGTTTCAGGGCATAGTGGAGATTGCTTTTGTTGTGTTACTTGTTATTGTCGTACAGCTTTGCTATCATTCGTCCAACTTAAGGGTTGAACTGAACACTGCTAAAAAAGAGAATACGTATTCAGTCACGCTACACCGGCTAAATTTAATTTCTGTCTTTTCCTGTATTGTAGTGAAGTCTGCTCTCGCCAAGTCAGTTTTTTTTTTTCTTATACCAGGACGTTAATGGAATAGTAAATATAGCAGGGGCCCTTGGGGGTACCAGAGCCCCCTAGAGGTGTAAGCATGGCGAATGAAGGAGCTGTGGGTGACTGGTTCCTCCTGAGGGGCTGACAGATGCTGATGCTGACAGATCGAGAGAGTGATTATTCAGAGCTTTGGAGATGAACTAGTGCTTGTGTTAGCTGGCTCCCCTGGCAGCGGAATCACTCCCAATCACCCCTCCATAAATCATGTAACACGTATCCTGGCACAGTGTGAAAACAGCACCATTGAGCAGACGTGGTCACACTGATGAAAGAGTGGTTATCATGAAAGAGTGCCATCAGTGACCACAAGAGCAGTGTACTTAGCTCAGGTCTTTAGGCTCAGCTGTGAATTGCTGCTCATATCTTATTTTTGTGAAAGGCTTTTCATGTCTATTTTAGGGTGTAACCCATATAAGATTTTTTTTGGTCTTGTCAGCTTTGACGGAATTGAGAACATCTCTTTAAGCACATTACAGAGCAGAAATGTTGATGGTTTATGACTAAACTTTTTGAAATTAAATTTGACTGATATCTACTGTCTAATGTGCCTAATTAAAATGTTTTCATATGTTTTCAAGCTGTGAGTGATCTTGCACAGTCTCTTCTCTTTTCTGACAGAAACAACATGTCTCCCCTGTTCAAAGTGCTTCAAGTGCCTTTGAGTTTGAGCTCTGGTTTAAGCCGATGTGAACTGCCAGGCTATTTGCTTACAAACTATGAATTCAAACTAACACAAAATCATGTTAGTTCAGTATAATACAACATGTTGCAGCCTATATATGCACACACACATACATAATGATTAATGAAAATATGCAGAGTAGTCAGTGGTACATAATGTAGTTAGAATCAGAACACATTTGCAGTTTAAATTGCATATTTATTGGTAAAGGTCCACTTTTGGCAATGCATGTAGTTGAAACAAGTTATTTTTATTTTTAGCTGCTTTCAGCTATTTTCAGCTATTTTTGTTTGTATCTAATTTTTATGCAGCTCATTTTCAATGCAGCATATATTGAATAATATTAATATAATATTTAACATTTAGCTGCAGCGTGAAAATAGAAGAAAAAAATATTATAATAATTGTTGTATTTTTAGTTTGCATCACATGCATACATCTGCTGGAATACAATATGTGTAACACTGTGTCATTGCTGCACCTCTTTATGTTAATTTGTAAGTCCTAAGTCCTGAAATTAAACTAATGGAAAAATCATTCATCTAGTTTCTAGTGTAAAATCTTTTTAAAGTAAAGTAATACAATTATTGTGATTTCATTTGAGCTTTGTCATTGGTTTGTTGAGTCTTCTGTACTGTACTTGCTTTAAAAACAAAGTGAGCCTAAGACTAAAAGATCATATGAGCATAATGATGTTAGTTACACTGTAAGTCCCCATTAACATTGCAAACCCAAGTTGAATAAACTCAATGATGTGCTTCGATGAACTATGAAACAATTCAGCAGTTTGAAATATTGACCCCTTAAGCAGAAAACAACAGCTCTAACGCAGTGTTGTCATGTCGCTGATTGGCCAAGGAACAAAGTGTTAACAACAGATTTCTCTGGCAGGAAAAGGCATAGAATAGTTTCAGCAAGTTGTCATTCGAAAGCAATTTAGGAAGCTGTAGGATCTCATTATTACATCAGTTTAATTCCAATTAGAATAAATGAATCAAATTATCCATTTCATAGCATGTGGCAAAATAAGTGGATGAGAAGCAAACGTGACCGACGCAAATCATATCAGTAAATTGATTTCATTTTTTTCTTTTTCTTTTGAAAATGAGGACAAAAGGTCATACACTAAATTAACAGGGCTCAAATCAGTTTTTGGATTGGGTTTTATGAATCACAAATTAATTTAGCATTTTATAAAATTGCAATTTAATTAGCCTTTTTTAATAACCTTAATCTACATATTCTGCAGACATTAGCACAACATGCAACAGTGAATCTTGGTATATTCTGATATAAATCTGAGAAGATAGAAGAGTAGACTTAGATTCAAGTCTTAACCGAAAGGCATGGTCAATGAGAAAAATCAACCTCATAAAGGAAGCAACTAAAGAATCAGTGCACATGACAACCAGCTCTCTGTGAAGTTTTACTTTCCAAATGTAATCTTATTCAGCCTCTTGTTAACTAAATTGTCTTAGGCTATAGTTTGTTTTGTGATGTTTTCATGTGTGTATGAACAGTCTGGTAGCTATTCACTGCAACATTTAGTACAAACCAACAGCCAGCCTGTTGATTTGAACCTTCTTGCTGGGAGGCGACAACCTCCTCTATTTGTCACTTTAATACTTATTCTAATTTAACACTGTTTTATTTATTCATATGGGGAACAGTTCAGCTTTATTTTCTTTTCAGATGGATTAAATTAACTGAAATACAAAAAGTTCTATTCAAAATCTAGCTTTTTTTGAGTGTCATATCGTCTGTAGACTTGAAAGTGGCTGTGAAAAGTTTGGAGTTTCCTTTTTCACAGAAATAGAGGCTGTGGTCACCTTGAATTCATGTACGTATTACATTTTAAGCTGCAATTTGATGGCCATGCAAGTTTTCACAATGGGAAAAAGGTATCAGCAATTTTGTTCCCTCTGACCACAGCGTATTTCTACTTTGCAGTATTTGTCGGAGGTGGAAAATGACTGTGCTTTAGTCACACATACTTTGATGTTGCCAGTAGTGACTGCCAAGTGTGGTTCTGTTTCACTCAGTGAGAATAAACCACATCATCACTCAGATATGATAGCGAAAAATGAAGTTGTCTCTCTCTTTTAAAACACAACTATGTGCAACATCTATTGGACATTTCATGAGGAGTGAGAACAGGTTTTTGCACCTTTGTGAGAGTAGTTTAACTTGGCTGCTTAGTTATTTTTAGTCGTTTAACACTAAGCCCTAAGCTTCAATAAACACTATGACTGATCATAGTTCAGAATTTGTTATACATAATGTTACCAGAAGAGAACCATTTATTTATAAGGAACATGTAGTTGTGACAAATGGATCAAACAACTGTTAGTTCACCACTACGCTATTTTTGAACTTTGCATAATTGTATTGACTGAATCAACTGTCAGAACTTGTGAAATATGACTTTTGAACTGTAAGTTGATAGAACTTCCTAAAGCTATCAACATACAAAAAAAAGGGAAAAAATTCTCTTTGGATTTGGATTTTTGCTCTGTACACTCAAAATGATTTGATAATGGGAATTGTCACATTATTATTACTACTATATTATTATGTTTCTCCCTTTTTATAGAGAGAAAATCCCTTACTGCCGAATTTTCTTTTAAGACAGGTCCTGATTGTATTCTTAAATTATTCCAGCCAGCAGTGGTAATTGCACATTAAGATAACTCATGTCCTTAGTGTGCTGTGAGGAAAGAGTCAGACCACAGCAAAATGTCATACATGTCTTTGGTTGGTTTGGGTTATTTTAAGTAAAAATCAATAGTCTTTCCTCAAAAAATCTATAAAAACCTTCTATGCACATGTCTCATCTTTGCAGGCAAGATGCTTTCACTGTTGAGGAGGTAGCGTTATTGAGAGATTGAGATTAACACTAATTTATTAAATCCAAACCGTATATTTCTCAATATATTGCTGGATTTAAAGACTTAACAGCATTTCAGCAAAGTTACCTCACCGAACAGTAACTGGTTGCACAGCTGTCTATGTCTTACATAGCCTAAGATATTGATCAGTTTGGGAAGAATTGCCCTAGTGAATCTAGTCATTTGTGACTGAGAAACTAACCTTTTTGATATTGATGACCACCAGTGGTTTGATTACTTTGTGTTCCTTTATTCCTTTCTTCCTCAGTTCATGAATAAAGCAATCATGGAGGTTAAGTGAATGGCCTTGAATTCTGCTTGATTGCAAGCTGCCAGATAGCTGCAATTTAAATCATCATTTTTTTTCTAAAGCTCCAGGTTTTAATGAAAATGCCCTCCGTGTGTCTTCTCTTGGTTGCAGGCCAGTGGGGTCAGTGTATCGGGGAGGAGTGTGGTTCTGGCGGGGTCCAGACGCGGACAATATGGTGTGTCCACATGGAGGGCTGGACTACCCACCATACCCACTGCCAGCACATGGACAAGCCAGAAAGCCAGCGGCACTGCTTTAAGGTTTGCGACTGGCACCAGGACCTTTTTGAGTGGGAGGTATCAGATTGGGGAGGCTGTGTTCTTGTCCCTTACTTTTCCAACGAGCTCACACTGAGGACGGCTGAGTGCATTACAGCACAGCATGGCATCCAGAGGCGCAAAGTTCACTGTGTACGCACTTCAAACCGTACCACAGTTACCTCAAGGATATGCGAGTTCTTTTCCCAGAAACCCCCTGTGGAGCAGGCATGTCTCATCCCCTGCCCCCAGGACTGTGTAGTTTCAGACTTTACCTCCTGGTCAAGTTGCAGCAAAACCTGTGGTGCTGGCCTGCAGCATCGGACTCGACATGTCCTGGCCACACCAATGTATGGAGGTGGAAGCTGCCCCAACCTGACAGAGACCAGGACTTGTTCTAGCCCTGTTGACTGCCCTGCTGGGGAGGGTGAGTACCAGTACAGCCTTAAAGTCGGGGCCTGGAGTGCGTGCCGACTACCCCATCACAAGGATACCCTGTTAAGTGGTAGGACCACAGTGGACTTCTTCTCCAATGAGAACAACACAGTTACATTGCACACACACGTGTCTCATCACCACTCCCATAACCACCACCACCACCACCAGCATGCACACAACAAATACCCTATGTCATGGGAACTGGAGGTGGGATATCAGACCCGACAAGTCCGCTGCACAAGGAGTGACGGCCAGAATGCAATGCTGAGGTAAGCCAATCACAAATGCTGCAAGGTGCTGCACCTTTCATACAGCGAGAATAAATAAGATGAAGCTAAAAAGTGGGAAATAAACACAGTGAAAAATAGTGTATTTCTTAAGGTCCAAGATAAGCCCAAGATTATAATGAAAGCAAGGTGGCTGTGTGAAAAGAGCTGGTTTGTAGCTGTCTGGGGAACAGACCTGTACAGATAACTGGATTTGTCTTACATTAATCTCTTCATCCACTGGTGTAGCATAAGAGGTGAGTTGTAAAAATTGCACTGTAGCTGAATGTGGGTGTCAGGTGAAATAGTCCTAATTGATTTGATTGTTTTTATGGTTCCTCCACACTATTGTTTCGTAACATGACAGGGACATGATAAATGGTCATCCCCTCACGATCCCAGTGGGTCATTTTCTTCATGCGGAGGTGTATTCACGGAGACAAAATGGTTTTTATCGATGGCAGTTATTTATTCAATTATAGCTAGATTATGTGAGAGCTGGTGTTTCACCAGCAAATTAGCATGTCGGTGAGGCACTATTGTGCTAAATGTCAAGTGCTGCTCCCCTCCTGTCCCTGCTGTTTGAGCTAGCCCTGGTATTTGAATTTGATAAGAATGGATTTTTCTGCACATGCTCGCACAAAAAGCAAGAACTTACATACACACACACACACACACACACATACACAAACGCATCCATACCTACACATACAGAAATAATCAACATTCCATCTTGTGCTTTCTTTTCAAGGAGAGAGAAAATCATTGCATGCATATTATATTGACTAAATGCCACTAAACCATCTGCTTGGTGTAAAGTGACACTATTAGCTGACAGTTTTAATCAATTGTCGACTGCCATTCATGGAGGCGTTGGTAACCACTTATCACTAATATCCTGTTGGAATGATGCATTTTTATTGTTTGACATTTCTTTAAAATGTATAGCCATGAGCAGTGCATTGCAATTGCACACAGCTAAATAAAATCTAAGCAGCGGCAGCTTTAGGGAGTTTGGATGTAGTGAGTTTTGTTTGTCCCATGTCATTTGGATGAAGGGGTAAGCCCCTTCATCCAAATGACATTGGACATGAAATTGGTTGTCTTGTTATGTGTTTGATATTAGCATGTTATTATCCCTGACAAAGCACACAAGGTTCACTGGCTTTATGGCTTGAGTGTGAAGGGACCATTTACAGTACAATGCCTGATTAGCATGGTATTTACTAAGAAGCTTTTGAATATGGATTTCCCACCTGAGTTCTGCCTCATTCTGCTTTTCTAATTACAGCCTAATTACAAACTAAAATTCTAAAATGAGCATTGTACTCACATCTTAATAACCTAACTAATTAAATTGTCCAAATTAAACAATGGGAGCTGTAATTACATGATTAATGCACTTGTTCCATATTTTTAAGTGAGCATATCAGCTCTTTGTACAATTTCTGTAAAGGCCGACTTTATGTCGGAGACCTATGTTATTATTGTGACGTATAATAGCATTGGATATTGTCTTTATCAAAAAATCAAGATCCTAGCAGATGGTCATTTTTACTTCCTAAAATCTGTCAACCAACCTACACCTGTCTGTCTGTCACTTGTCAGTTTTGTTCCTTAACACTAAGTAACTCTATTCTCAAACTGTGATCGGGATCTTATGAAAAAACGGTTGTCGCAATTGTACTATTTTCTTCTTTAACTTCTTTTTTCTTCGTCATCTGCAGTCTCTGTGTCAAGGACAACTCCCCCCTGACCTTTCAGGCATGTGTGATGCCCAAAGACTGTCAGACATCTGATTGGTCATCGTGGAGTCCCTGCTCGAAGACCTGCCGGTCCACCGACCTGTCTCCTGGTTACCGCCTCCGGTCACGGATCATGACGCAGATCCCAGTCGGAGGGGGGAAACGATGTCCTGCCCTTGAGGAAAAAGAAGCTTGCAACATCATAGGAGATTTACTTCCAAACTGCCCCAGGTAGAGTGATGGTTATCTAATTTTGATCTCACAGTCATCAAAAACAAAAGCTCTGTTCATGTGCAATCTCCTGATACAGATGTGTATGCATAAATTGTCAAAGTCTAAAATCAAATAATGGTTTTTAATTTAGCTTCTCTGAGCTTTTTCACCTGAATGATTATGAGAGAAAGCCTAGAGGCTGCAAATATTCATGATCTCACTATTGAATTACTTTGTGCATATTTTTTGGCATTGCCTCAATTACCTTGTGACAACTACAATAACCACTTGTACTGTTGGGAGTTCCGGACCCAATGGACTTAACATGGATGACAGTGTTTGACAGAACCCCATTGTTTTAGGAACGTTTGAGTTAAGATAGGTTTTTGCCTAATATTACATGCAGTAAACAAAGTAATCAATAGAGAATTATTTTCCCTGCTGGTAGATTTTGTTTTATTTGCTAACTCTACACGGAGTGCCTGAGAGCAGAGGATTTACATGATTAGGGAAAACTCATTACGGAAATTAAGCATTTGATAGATTACTACAGGCTGTTGTTCTGGTAAACTCCTCCAATAATATTGCTTTATGCACCACTGCATTTTTCATAGTTGAAACCAAACATTTGTTTAGAAGTTCTGAAATCAAAATAACCATGCCTCCCGCCTCCTGACATACTGGGAGAGAGGCTCTTGCCAGAAACTGCTCTTGCTAATTTGTCTTTTGCTTTGCATAGCTTTTCTGAAACAACTGGCACCACTGTGTGTAAACTGATTCTTTATCTTTTTTTCAATTGTCTCTGAATGGATTGAAGCTTCGTTTCTGAAAATACACAAACATGACACACCTGCATACTTTCTAAGACATATCAGAAAGGTACTCCAGCAGTGACTCCATTCAGTTGTTGTATCCTTGTTTGCATTGAAAATATGTTTGCATGTCTGTGTCAGGTATGTGTGGAGGACCACTGACTGGGGAGAATGTCGCATCCTTCCCTTACTGAGCCAGCAGGACCGGCGGCTTGCTAACATCAGTATTCTGTGTGGAGGGGGGATCCAGAGCAGGAAGACCTACTGTGTTCAAGTCCCTGATGACTCAGCACCACATCACAGGAAAGAGGGTAAGAAAATGCGCCTTCATCACAGTTGACCCAGGGCTCGCTGGAAGCCCATGGTGACTTAAGAGATACACCATGAATAAATTCCAGTAAACTCAGTGGTGTGTTTTGATATAAGCTGTGAGCATAAATTATTAAAGTGAAAGTTAGCAGCAGAGCATTATGTTGGTTATGCAGGCAAAAAAAAACAATCATAAAGAAGCTGTGTTGCTGTATAAAGTACGTTCAAAGTGCAAGTAGACAATAAGGATTATTGTTTTATTCAGACTGTGTTTTCTTGAGCTACAATATACTGTAGCTAAGGTTTTGAGCAGCAGGGACCCACTACTCTGCATGTGAAATAGCTAATTTTACCTCTAAAGGTTTAAAGTTTTTTTTCATTTCAAGCAAATGCGAGAAATTTATCTTTTGGTGCAGCATCAATAGTATTTTTCTGTTTTAAATAAAGTGTTTGCACTTTTTTCATGTTGAGAACCTGCAAACCACAAAACAGCATGAAAAGGAATTGATAGCAGTTGGCACTGGGTTTAAACTGTTTGCCTGGCATGTATATAATTATGCAAATAAAAGAAAATTAAAGTTATAGTTTGACATTTTGGTAAATATTCTTATTTGCTTTCCTACTAGATATATGAAAGGATTGATACCACTCTCATGTTTGTATGGTAAATACAGTACAACAGCAACTGGTTAGCTTAGCTTAGCACAAAGACTGGAAAAACACAGCTAAGCTTGGCCTGTCCAAAGGTAACACAGTCGGACTTCTGGCACCTCTAAAGCTCACAACCCCCCTGGTTGTACGGGGTTACATTTCCTGTATTTTCTGGAGTTCTGACAATGCTGGTAGGTAGGTTGCCAGGGAACCAGCGCAGACACCAGTTAGTGTCTACGCCATGCCAAGAAATCGTTATTATGCTCACAGCCTCATGAGGCAGCGATGTTCACACCAGAAAATAACTGAGCAAGACACTGAAGAAATTACTTGAGATGAGCACAGCAGCTTTGTTGCTGTCACTGTGTGCATAGGTGAATAAGAGGTTCTGTAAATGGCTTCTTCCTGCTCAGGTTGAAAAGTGCTATATTAAGAAAATTACCACTGATCATGAACAGTGGCAGTCTCTGTCCTTATTATCCTTGAATAAAACCACAATCAGTGAATGTATATAATGATTGATGAAGATGATTATAAATTTTACCTTCAATATAACAGTCACAGGAAAATCTTTATTTGGCTTCTTTGTGAAAATACCCTTTCCTGGAGTGCACTAGAAGATGTTTGTTAAAAACAATCAATATGACTAATACAACTCATAGTTAAGGCCATTATTATTGTCTAAGCCCTATCCCACTGTTTATTTTCTGCAAGTCAAGATAAAGCATTTACACATATGCATCAGGAGTAAGAGGACCAACAGCTGCCTGGTGTGCTTTGGTCATCACAGCAACTAGCTTGGTGCAAGATTTCATAAGATTCATAGTTGAGACGTGGTGGAAATGTCACAGAAAACACCACAAGATACAGTAATTCCTAAACTCTGCCACTGTAGTCACACATGGATAATCTAATACACACAAAGTCTAATTTCTTTAGTGTTTTCAGTCTTACCTCCTTTTCCAATTATTGTTAGTGCAGGAAATCTAACCGACTAAATCACTTTGATGTGGGGGTGGACACAGTAACTTGAACACCTAGGATTGCATTATATTGTACAAGCATCTGTGTAATTGTGCCAGGCCTGGATTGTAGGGGAAAATGGGCATATTCACTAAACAAGTAAAATAGTTTTATGAGTTTGATAAATATGGCTGATGCAGCCTTGCAGGGCACTGTGTTTTCACATTAAATCAAATATCAGTATAGTATTAAAGGGGATGAATTAGTTTACTTTGAACATCAGGCAGGACCTGCTCATCCCTCCCCCTGTGAATTATGCTTATTTTATTATGCATTATGTTGGTATCATGCAGATTTAACAAGCTGTAATAAAATATAGACAGGTGGCATAAGATAATAAAGTCAGTCAATATAGATAATTCAAGTTATAAAAGAAGTAAGTTACTGTTAATCAAAAGGAGAACCACATTTCATTTTGTGGTTTGACAGCCAGTTTAAGCTTGGCAGGGAGATGGTAATTGTGCAGCCAAACTGCTTCTTCTTCTTTATAAATAAATCGCCTGAGAAGGACGACGACACAGCTACTGAGGGACAGGAGGGCAAAGTTAACTGAACTTTTCCTGAGAGTTATGGAGACTTATTTCGGACAGGGTATTTAATCTCAACACTTTTGCATAGAGACTTAAATGTGTCAGATTATCAAAAACAATTTGTAATGTTTTTGATCAAATTGGTCCATGATTTAAGTGAAACTATTTCCACTTTTAGACAATTTTATTTAGGATTGTACACCTGCTTGTCTTTATAACATTTGCCTTTTCTGTAAAAATTAAAAAGTCCTATTTACTGCTTATGTACAATATATGCACTGTGCAAATAAATTGCATTCTGTTTTGTTTTGTTTTAGTCACTGTACCATGATAACATGAATGAAAACCTGTCACTTATGTTATTCTAATAACACACAATTATCAGTCAATTGGGACAATAGTAGAAATGCAAGATTTTTACATATCATTATGATAACCACCATGTTGGACATAGTAAAAAAGTATGTTGCATATAGTTTATTTTTCTTTGGAGGTAAAATTATGGATGGTATCTATTGTAATGTCCCTGGGTCTCCCCTAAACCATATCAGCTTAGCTTGTTGTGAGGCCTTATATTTATTTGCTGCTCTCAACTATGTATTAAGGAAGGCACTGCTGTGTTTCCACTGTTGCACTGCTGCACTTGGCCATGGCCATTTTAACTTGATGCAACAGATATAGACACAGCAAACCTTAAAAACTTGTTACAGTACGGCACTTTGACCTAACCTCTTTGCAAAGTACTTATCGTACGTATAGATTTAGTATAATGTAAACAACCCAGAACCAGATTACTGTTGGTAAATGCATTCATATGAACAGAATATGAGAAGGCATGAAAAATTAGCTAAATGTAGGAATCACCAAGGCAACCAGTTTTACTGTGTGTTTATGAACTCCAAATGGCTGTGCTAAAAAGTAATGCTCTTTCACAAAATAATAATTAAAAAAATATATTTTAGTCTTAAAAAATCAATCATTACAAGAAAAAACTAGGAGCACATGCATACCAAGTATTTCATTTATCTTTTTAATTAAGCACAGTGGGTATTTTTTCATGGCTTTCAACTATAAAGTTCTCTTTTGCAAATCATAGTCTTTCCTGCCTAATAAACATAACCATTTGTTTAATAATAACATATTCATTTTGCCTCATCCATATTGTATTTTGTGTGCCTACTTGATGTGCACTGGGTGGCTTCATTTCTTAGCCGAGGAGTTTTGGCAGTAGCTGTGGGATGCCCCTTTAACTCAGCAGAGGTGTATTTGGACATATGAACATGAATATGTTAGCTGAATGAAATCAATGAGGGCAGCTCTTTGAACCAATGGATGTGAGGGACAAAGATCAATACGTAATATGTAATATTTACCTTTACGTGACCTGCACAGCTTTAGCTAATGTAAACAGATGTATTCCTGCACTATGGATAGCTCCTTGGTCTGGTAATGTGGAGAACAATTTGCTCCTGTTGGCAGTCCACTGCAGTAATGCAATTGACAAAAACAAGTAACCACAATTTGGAGAACAAAGCAGAGAGATCTGTACTATGCACTGTATGAATGTGTTTAAGCAAGCATCTCATTTTTACAAAGGAGATCAAAAACCATGTAAATTACTTTTCGTAAGAAGACAAAATGTACAATGGACATTTAGTGAATTCCTCTTTGGGCTCTCATTTAAATGGAAATTTGCCACTCAATGATGTGCGGAGGTGCATCAAAATGGAATATTAGATTGAATAAATCCCTGTGTTGTGGACAGGCAAAAAATGCCCTCTCATTCTATCTGAGAGACTAATGTCAGAGCCCATTACAGGTGGCTGAGCTTTCGGAGCTTTTCTACAAATGATACCAGCCATGCTTAGCAGTGAATTGGTTATACCGTGTCTTGCCTTAATATCTCCCTGTTCAGCTCCTGTTTACTCCCTTAGCTGGCCGCTGCCCTCTATTTAATATTCTCCTGAGCCAGGCATGGGATGAGAGGAGCAATTTTCTTTCTGTTATTTTTTATTTTCTACCTTTATTTTTTACTCCACAATAAGCATTGCTAAACCTTCCCTGCTTCTCATCACAGTGTACAATATCTGAAGCTGTAGTCTTTACCAATAAATATACTACTGTCTTCCAAATCAGGACTAAATTACTTCCATACTTTTCATCCAGCGACACTGATGCTTCCTCATCTTCTTCACTCTCTTCACAGCATCCAGCACATATTTCTGTTTACATTCCAATTCCAAACTTATTACCTGACAGAAATTGCACACACACAACAGACACACACACAAACTCACACACACTCCATTGGTGCCTGTGTGTGGCTGAGCTTGACTTAAGCCCGGTATATCCCTGCCTGTGTTCCTTTTGTTTGTTCAGTGTCCAGGCCTGTAAATGCCAGGCTATGCGCTGGTGAAGAGCCCCCCTCGGCCGTCCAGCACTGCTCCATCCCTTGCCAGCACCACTGCCTGCTCTCCCAGTGGTCACCCTGGGGTGCCTGCCTTCATGACAACTGCAAACAACCACAGGGAAAGAAAGGTATGATGGAGTATGATGGAGGCTTTGGCTTTTGAAAGATTTGCAGGACCGCATGTAAATTTATCAACAGTGTAGAGAAAAGACATGATGAATGTGGATGCCAATGATTGCTGTGGTCGTATGATTTCAAAGTTCTAGAGATTTAGTAAAAGTACAGCAGTACTGTGCAATGAATAGTTTGATAAGGCTGCATGGTCACATCAAAAGAGCACAGTGTTAGCTAGCACTTGTTATTGCCAGCTAGTTAATGTGCAAATTAAAAGGATGATCGCTGCTGTGACAAGATGTAACAAGCTATATTCTTTTAAATGCCAAAAATATTGTTTCAAGATATATCCTCCTTTAAAATGTCTCGAAAAGCAGAATACTGTTCCCCTCAGAATCCAGAATCATGTTTGACAGATGGACGGACAGAGGGATGGACACATATCCAAAAGATAGTACAGATAGCTAGCTAACAAGCTGATATGATTTAAAACTGAAACTGCTAATTGCACAGATGGACCAGTGGTGATATCATAAGCACCCAGTCAAAAAGCAATTATCTGCTGAGTTATATTGCAGATAGCCATGTAGTACATTTACAATCAGCTGTTCACAGCAACTGTTGCTTAAGAGTTGACTAGTTTCAGTATGGGCAACAAGGGACTTTAGACTTTGTCAATGGTTTGGCAACACTGAAACTGAAAGAGAGAAAGCTATTGAGGCTGACGGAGGCTAGGAGAGAGAGTGACAATGCAAGAGAGCGATGTTGTCAGAGCAGGAGAGAGAGGCAGTATATGTTTGAATCCTAAATTGTTTGTTGATAAGCGGCTGACTGAGAGGAAGTGTGCTCTGGAGGAAGGCAGTACACATAAACCACAGCAGACGAAAGACAGAAAGAGAGCACACCTGTAGTTCTGCTCTCAGTCCCCAGGAGGGTGAATGGAGAATCAGCAGACAAGATGCTTCCTGTCTGTGTGTGTATGTGTGTGTGTGTGAGAGAGAGAGAAAGTGTGCTCAAGTATTCAGCGTGCTCGTGCTGTCTGAATGTTCTTGTCTTTTTTCACAGGTGAACGCGTGTCATATCTGACTGCTTTAGAGAGGCTACGCAGTGTGTGTGTGTGTGTGTGTGTTTCAGTGTGAGGCACTGGCGGTGCTGTTACTGCGTTAGCGCTGTGCTAAAAGGGCAGCATGACCTCGCCCCTGCTGTGAGTAAATGTGCATGAAAGCCCCCCGGGGAGCGACTGAAGTGTGGATTGTTCAGGTCAGTGCCCACACTCTCCAACGCTGGATCTCTATGGGATGAGCCAGCTCCTCTCACAGACAGTGTCATTAATATATTTCAAGGAGTGGAAAACGCAGCACATGCTGTTTTGCACAAGGCTCTCTAGTGGCATACTGTCTTTTGATGGCATTCATAAAGATCCACAGCCCACAGCAGATAGAGTATGAAACCAATAGAAAATCACTTTCAGAGAGCTCTGTTGCCTGCGAAGCAATGAACAGTTATTGAGTAGTCGGCATTGTTATGATCCAAGTCGTTTGCCTGTGGTCCTTGGGCTGCAGAGAATTTCTTGCTCCTTTTGAATGTGCACTTAGCCTTTATGTTTCACAACATCAGAATAAACTGTGATCCGTTTCTAACTGAAAGACCCGCGGGATCCAAGCGCTCAGGTAGAAGAGCCAACCAGCCAAGATGCTTATGCCGCCCCAGCTTGCTCTCCGGAAAATTACAAATTTAAATTGCCTCGCAGTAGCTTTATGTGCTTTTCACATTTTTTTCATGTTATCTTGGCCTATCACATTTTGCAGCTATGTTGGAAAATGAATTGAGCATGGGAGGTCACTTGATAGAATTTTAGCAATGCCTTAACTAGAAGTCACGGAGCTGAAGGGAGCAGTATGTCTGAATAACAGTGTGTTGAAAATCACTGGATGGCCCTTGTTTCCCTGAAATAAACCTGGTATGACCAAGAAACCTTTCAATTATTAATATCCATGGGGGCATGCCCACGCCAAATTGTTTTTTGTGGTTTGGATGTGAATAGCAGTAAGTGCTGTGGGCAATACTGCAATCGATCCATAGTCTGTTTGCTGTTCAAGAGCACACTCGGGCAGCACCACGGATCAGACTCCTGAACTGGTGCCTCACACCAGTAGAGGGTCAGGGGATGTAATTTGTAGAGTGGGTATCCAGGGGTTAGACAGGTCCACCTGTGGAGGGAAAGAATGTGGAACCTTTCTGCCAAGTGTCAGAGCTGCGGTAAAATGAGTATGGCTCCAAAAGAAAAGCTGCTGCTGTTCAAGTGTCGTGGACATTTACTGGGGGAGCTGCTGGAGCCTACAAAAAGCATTTTCATCCTACCATTTTTCATCTCCAAGAACATTTTTCTATGTCATCAGGGAATTGGAAAAGCTCAGTTGTCGATAGAGACTGTAGATTAGAACATGAGCTGTCCATTCAGTAAAAACCTTTTCATAAAGAAATAAATAGAAGAATTCAGCTTTGGGAGAATCAGTGTTTTAGACATCTATGGGCCAATTAGGTAATCCATTAGGTAATTGGCTTAATGATAATGATTGTGTCAAAATGTTGACCATGTTATTGCTAATTGCGTATTTAAACCAGATTTAGAGCCATTTGTTGTTCATGTCGTGTTATATCCCATTTTAGATTTTACTGCCATTGTCATTTTTTCTATTAAAAACAGCATATCCTCCAACAATGCGTCTACGGACACAGGTGATTGAATGCAAAAACTGCTTAGCTACTTCATTACAAACACTTGTGTATCAAGGTAAACCAGCAGATAGTACTTTGTTAAAAGCTGGCAGAATGATGTGGTAATCCAGTGGTCTAAGATGCCACTTCATGGGGAATTCTGCTTTAGACGTTAACAGTCAGTTTCTCTTTCTCTGTATTTACTAAAAGCCCACACTGAGGTTTTTCACAGTTAAGTGGAAGAAAATTGGCACTGCTTAAAATTGTATATAATAAGTATTCTAGTCACAAAATATGGGAAGAGGGAATATAAATTTACACAAATGACTGCTGCTCCTGATCTATTTATCTGATCAACTGCCTCAGAGAAAATTCAATCTGACATCAAACTTTAATGTTAACGTGTGTCGATGGCACTTTTTTAAGCAGGTCCGAGCAGATAAGTCAGAGTTGATTCATCTTGGTGATAGTTTAGAAAATTTTGTGTCAGTGGTAAGGAATATTATTGGAAATTATATGATGCATCTATGGTTTACAAGAGCTTCTTCAGGACCACAACACAAAGCCAATGTCCAGCGATGCAACAGAATGTTACTTTTAACACATTTCCACCTAATGCCTCCCTAACCTCCTCCACATAGAATATGTATTTCTCCTGACTATTGATGCCTCACAGCTGGCCCACTGTGGTGTGATATGATTTAATCAGCTAATTAAATGCTTATTAAGAAGGTCTGTTCGATTTTTACTAATTTACAGCAATCATTTTGTAATATTTTTAAGAACAACCAAAAGTCTCCAACACAACTCCAGGAGGCCTTTTAATGTCACCTGTGTTTTTGTTGAGCTAACGATATCAAGTCAAGATAGATATACTTTATTAATCCCCTGGGAGAAATTTTTATTTTCACTCTTTTTATACACACACACACACAGGCTGAAATACACCTTCCATGCAACAGAGGAGCAGAGATGGTGGAGTGGATGGGGCTGCGCGTTATGAGCATGAGCAGTTTCTTGGGTTAGGTTGCCTTGCTCAAGCGGCACCTCGGCAGGGCACAAGGCGGTGAATACTGGCACCTTCCAAGCTACAGTCACACTCCATGTTTTTGTGGTCTGTGGGACTTGAACCGGTGACCCTCCAGTTCCCAAGCCAAGTCCCTTCACACTGAGCTACTGCCGCCCTATTATATTATATTAGCTGTTATAATGTTTTTCTCACACGTCATTGGACCGCAGTTCTAAAAAGTGTCTTCTCTTAGTATAAGGACTTTCATTCATTGTATTGCATTCCAGACATGCACTGTGTGTCTTACACAGTACAGCATCAGATCTTATAGATTAGCGGAATTAATCTGAGGAACTGCAGCTGGGCTTATTTACATGTGTAGTCTTATCTTGCTAAAGTGAAACAAAAAAACAATATTTGCTGTGATGGAAAGTTTTAATACCGCTGACAATAATTTGTGCTAGGCTCAATAAATATCTCCTGATATGACATCGTAGACCATGTAGCTGTGACGTCCCTAGTTTAGTCGTGCTGAAGACCTTTGTCATTGCCCTGTAATTTTTCTACCCACGTTGCTTGTCACTTTACAAAAATGCCTTGAAAATAGCTTGGTTGAGGAAGGAACCTACACAGTCAAACCACACCAAACTGCATATCTTGGCCTGACCTTTGTAATCACTGTCGTTTCTCACAAAGCCAGCACAATAACAATAATCTTTTTTTTTTTTTTACTTTAGCAAAGTACATATCTTTGGTTCACAGATAAGATAACATTAACTGCTCAGTCCTGGTGCTTGATTTTAGTCATATTACATCCAGAGGAATCAAAAACAGGACATATTTGTACAGTATGTCCTGTTTTTAGCTACTAGACAATTATGTTATTTAAGTGTTCATACTGTGTTACAGTGCGTGCCTTTTCTCTTAGACCTAGAGAATAAGATTTTCCGATTGTGAATTTTAATTTGAATAAATTGATAATGATAACAATAATAAAATCAGTGCAACACTACCTGTATAACTAGACATAATAATAATCAAATAATGCATCTCACAATACTAGGGTTAGATAAGTAAGTAGAAACATCATTTGAGTATGGAGTACCAAGCAACAGTGGGAATACAGTATTTCACTTCATTTCAACATGTTTCCGATCATTTTCACATACCCACATTTGTACATTGCATTTTTTGCAAATCACAGGAGGAAACAGTATAATTCAACAACATAATGTCGGTCCTAATTTACAGGGTTGTTTGCACAACAATTCAAGATTAAATCTGAATTGAAATGAGCTGTTATGAGGGTCATTTCCTTTCTACCACAACAGAGATGTTCAGTACAGGTGCCAGTGTGGAGCCAGCACATCTCAGCTGGCAGCCCCCAATTTAGTAACAGTAACAGCAGCAGCAGTGAAAGGACAGTGAGACTCAGTAATTGGAGAGACAGGTGTCATTGTGAATGTCTTGCCAACTACTGTAACTTGACCCCAATCACTCAGACTTTCCCACTTTTTTTTTTTTAAACAACCTCTCCTTTGCCGTACCATATGGCTCATTATCTTCCTCACCTCCCCTTGTCTCTCTTCTCACTTGGGAAATGGGATCCAAGTGGATATTTTTTTTATTTATTTTATCAATTAGGGGGTAAGGTTTAATGTGCTTGTTTTAAAAAGGGCACACGTTGACATTTGGCAGCTTGTAGGTGAAGTCTGGCCATTTATCAGTGAAACTTCCCAAATTTTCTCTTTGGGTGTATCAAAACTTTACTAGCAGATCATACTGTGGGCAGCTGCTGCTGAGTCTAATGAATAGATGTAACACTTCTCCCTCTATTGCAAGATAGAAAAAGTTTAGTAACTTAACAGATGAATGACACAAAGACTTAATTCAGATTAGGGCATACCTATATCAAACATCATTTTATTTCTGTAAGCGTAATTGTACTGAAAAAGAATTGCAGCTGAATTATATATATTTTTTTTAACAAGAACAGTTTTGTTTTAAAGAAGCCATGGTGGCATGCCACAAGCAACTAAGGTTAAATGAACAAAGACTCCTCCAGCATTTCTTCTTTCAAACTCCTGTTTTCTTTATTCACCTTTAATGGTTATCGGTGAGTCATAATAGCTTTTGTTGGAAAAGTGCTGTTGCTAAGTAAAGCATAGCTGATAAAAGACTTAAATAATTGATCACAGAAAAAATTCCCTGTGAAGTCTACATCTTAATACTGTAGCCTATGATATTGATTAGCTGAGAGGGGTTAGTTGGTGTGAGGCAACATGCTTACTGTTGCTTTATTTTTTGTACAGGAATATCAGCTGCTTCTCTGACAACCCTTCTCTGTTCCCTCCCTCCCTCTCCTCTTCTTCTCTGTCAGGTTTTAGACAGAGGAGGAGAGAGGTGTTGTGGGAGTCCAGCAGTCCTCTAGAGACCTGCCCTCATCTGGTGGAGTCTGTCCCCTGTGAGGATCCCACCTGCTTCCTGTGGCAGGTCCAACAAGAAGAAAGATGCATTCCCACTAAAAGCCCCTGTGGTCCTGGAACCGCCGTCCAGAATGTGACCTGTGTCAGTGCTGAAGGTAATGTCCTTGATTTTGCATCATAAAGGAGCAGTTTGCATCAACACTAAAATCACCATTCTCTCCTACACTATGGAGTTTTTTCCAGTCACTAAACACAGTCACTAAAGCCATTTTTGTTAACTTTATTTCTTGCTGACAGATGAGGATTGAGATTGATACTAACCATTATGCCTTGATTCCACTGGGCACAGCTCTATAACGTTGCGACTGTGACACTGTTTTGTTCTGTGCTTCACATGGCTTCATACCCCAATGGGATTGTTTGAGAAGCGAAGCATTTTGCCTGCCTGTTATTGTTGACTTGCAAACATTTTTTTTTAATTGACTGGACGCTCTATGCCATTCCTGTGTCTGACTTCCTGCATGGCTCAATCTTTTCTGGGCAGTTTGATGCAGCATCCATTAAAAATAGACTAAGCACGTATTTTAAGCAGAACATAGTGATAAGCGGCTTCTGGGTCCCTTCTGGGCCCTTTCTGAAAAGTGTGCGACACAGCCATGTCAGCTGTATTGGTAGGCACATAACAGAGCCAGGCTAGTGTGTTCCACTTCCAGTTGTTATGCTATGATGAACTAAGCTAGATCCTGACTGTAGCTGCATACTTCACTGACATAAATTAAAGTAGGATCAATCTTCTCATCTGGCAAGACAGCAAATAAGGATATTTCCCAAAATGTCCAACTATTCCTTTAACAATTTACAAAAAAATGTGTTTATTGATCTTTATCTGTTCTGATTTAAATGGCAGCTACATTTATTTACTCATAATTATAGTTGGACTAGATATACAAGTAGCTGTAAAATTCATCAAGGCCATAGTAGAGCCATCAGTCCTGTGGTCCATACACGTAATGTTATCAGTAGCATTGTGACGCATGATCTATCAGGTATAATGTGATCCATTGTGCTCAGCCATATCATCATGTTGGGTGATAGGAACATCAGTGTTAACGAAGCATGCATTATTCATGAGGGTCCATCACTGAGTTTATGGCCACAGAAAACACTGGCCTGATTAAAAGTCAGAATCGCAGCTTCCTACCAGGCATTAATTGCTCATCTTCATAGATTATAAACCTAATTGCACCCTTTTTTGCCTGTGTTTTATTATTCTGTCACAATGGATCATGTGTATGTTTATCAGGAAGGCAGTGGAGGGTCCAAATGTATTAGCCAGCAAGAGAGTCTAATGAGTTTTGACAGGTCAACTAAGAATGCAAGCTTTGGCTGGTTTGAGGAAAAAGGCTTATGAAATTATCTGCAGCGGATTTATTGTTAGTGAATGTTGACAAGTTGTTCACTGTTCTTCCTTAATTGGCTTATCGGACTTACCATTCAAGAACATTGGGTTATTTTCACACACATTCTACAACAGTGTCAGGCCCAGGTTTTTAAGTGAAGTAAAATCTTGTAAGAAGCTCTGTTTTTTCACACAATGAATGTCACCGTAGGCTGCCATAACAGTGATATAGGCAAGGACTTCAAGCATCAATGATCACGACAATATGAGTCACAATCCCTAAGGTCATATAAATGCACAACAAATAATAATAATGACATATATACTTGCCATTATTGAAATAAATGGTACATTTGGGGTGAATTTTAGGTCTTTTAAAAACTCTTGCTTGTTATATCTACATAAACCAAAAGCAAAAGCATTTTAACATGTTCAAATAGTGTGTCATATGATTTGATAAATACATGCTGCTTAACCCTGTCATGAAGCACTTTCTAATTTTATTTTAGATTCTTGTTATGAAAAGGTCTGATAAAATTTGACTTTAATGAGATGTTTGGCATGCTGGCAGTCCTTGGGTCAAGACTTTGATACTTCTGACAGTGTCCATCTACATGCTCAATACACCTAATAAAGTCAACACCAAACACTGTTTTAAAACTGAGTTTCTATGTTTTCTTTAATGACTTGAATGGTGGACAGACGGGAAAGTTGTTAGATTGACAGAATATGTTCTGTTGCTGTAATTATTATTTTTTGTGCAAACATCTAATCTGATCATGGTCAGGTTATTTTCCAGATAGAATATGCTTTTAGTTACTTTTCTGTTGTGCTTGACATATAAATTTAAAAGACCTTGGAGGAAGCAGCCGCTAATTGCAACTCTGTCTGCACATTCAGACTCATAACATCCAAGCTCTCCTTCTCAGCTGCTACACAAATAGAGATGATGGACACTTAGTCCGTGTCTTTGTCTGTGTTTAATATTTATTTTGGAACAGATTCCCCCCCCCCTTTACTTTCACTTTCACTTATAAAACACATCGGAAGTTTATTTCCCAAGCTAATGAATCGTTCGCTTCAGATAATCAAGCACATTACCCTTGTCTCACAAACTTTAGGGAACACAATATTTAAAGAAAATATTCAGAGGAGCATTACGGATATTGGTGCATCATGGATACAAAAAAAGTCAAGTTACTTTAAAATAAAGGAAGGAAGTTTTTGACAAAGACTAAGGTCAATACACTGTTTATAAGACATATTTTATATTTTAAAATAAGTAGTCCTCCACTCATCCCAGATATATTTTACTGCAGCTTCAATCAAAACAGGTTGAATCCAGCCCCGGAGGTGGATTGTTAATGACGTTATCTGCAACATCTTTAGGTTCCTGTGTTGTGGTTTCCAGTAATTCTTTACAGTGCTTTACAGTTCCATGAGTGAGCGAGGAGTCTGGGTCTGCAATGTTTAGACTGACTGTGGAGAGTAAAACACCTGCATACATAGCCAGTGTTTGTGGCTTGGTTTCAATCATTTTCACTTCTTCCAAAAGTGCAGAAAAGTATTTGAGGGATTGAGACAAGAAGAAGATATACTTTATTAATCCCCTAGGGGAAATTGTTCTTTT